AAAACAATAGATCGACAGTTTCAAATTCTTCTAATCTTTCTACCATTTCATATTACAACCACCTAAATAAATTCCGCCATAAATGCATAAAATCCATAGTCTACTTGTAATCGTTAATCCGACGGTAGATAAACGTAAACATCTGCGAAAGACAATTTCTGATATAGTTTCCGGAGCACTTAAGAGTGTCTACAGCCACATTGTTACCGCGACTCCGTAACAACAAAGTTTCTTCCCCCGCAAGCCGAAGAACGTCCGACAGTTTTCCGTGCGCCGAAGAATTGAAATTTCCAAGTGGTTTACGCGACGAGGGCGGAATTCTTGGAGGACTTTCGACTGTTCGCTCGCCTCATATTCGTCTCACACAATGCGGGATCGTAGCCGAATGAAAGAGGACGCGTCTGGCGAATTCTCGGCACGCGTTTCATTGTAATTCGTGCATACAACCTGCCTCCCTGGGCTCTCAAGTCTCGAAAGAGAGAACTCGCGCGCGCGAGAGAGAGAAAGAGAGAAACAGAGAGAGAGAGAGAGAGAGAGAGAGTCGATTCTTCGGAACGTTCCGATTAGAAGACGGTTTTCTGTCGCAGCGATTCGACGCGAACGTGTCGGCGAGCGGAACGAGCATATTCCACGCGCGGCGGACAAAATATCGAGCGCGGGACAAGAAAAGCCACTTGGAAGACAGAGCTGCCATCAGCCAGGGCTACGTCTCCGCGGAGCGTGCTTCTAATGCGGCAGTCGACGTTAATGTACGCGGGTTTCCCAGCTACCGTGAAATACACTCGGGAAATATGGGGAATGCCGCGGCTGTTTTCCGAAATTTCCCGTTACGCTGTTGCGGAGAGCTAACTTTCCACTTTTCGCTCCGTTGAGGGGCCGGGTTTGCTATCCGATCTACGCCACGCTGTTAGAATCTTCGTTAGAGTGCTTAGCGAGTTGCGGAATATTTGCGGAAACAATGCTGCGAGCGGTGATTTAATTTTCCTTAACATCTACGGCAGACGACGCTGCCGATAAAGCTGAAAAAGAAGCTCGTAATCTGACACCCTGGGACAACGGTTGTAAAATTAGTTCACCGGACCCGAAATCCTCCGTTAAAAAGTACAGAAAATATGTGGAAAATATTAAGAAAAAATATATACATATAATATATATAAAAAGTATAAATATAAATTTATGGAATACCGATTGGATTAACGGGATCAATTGGATCACACACAATGTACATGTTAATTATAATCTAGAATATAAGTCCTTACGTATAGTTAATTGCAAACCATGTGGTCCCCACTGAATGTAATAGAAATTTTAAAAATGCCTTTCGCAGATCTCGGTAACTTATACGCACCTTGAAAATTTTATCGAAATCAGTTAACGTTGTTATGAGTTCCAACAAATTGAAGACGGCAAAAATCGCAGTTTTATCACGATTTAACTTCGACCAAAAACTAAAATAAATCTGCGGTTTTTCAAATCTTTCAACGCCTGTAGCTCGACTCTGGGTTAACCGATTTCGATCAAATTTTCAGGATGCATATGAATTACCGAGATCTACGAAAGACATTTTAAAAAATTTTTTATAGGCTCAGATATAAAAATTAAAAGGCGAGAGTATTTTATCTTTTTTTTTGTCATTCCAAGTAATAACAAAATTTAAAACGAAAGCATTTTATTCACCGTTTAGTAGACTAGTACCTCTAATATCTAAAAAAAAATTCAAGTCGTTTAGTTGAGTTTTAAAAAAGGTATTACGCTTTAAAAAGTGTACGAACACTTTTGTAAGCCACTGTATATTCATCTTTTATCCTCGAACCTCCTGTAAGTTATTAGGTCTACCGGAAAGTTCTGTCCGTTTTTGAATTGAAATATAACACAATTTTCATACATTTAATAATATTTATTGTAGAATATACTTTCCATCGTTACTTATGACTTCTTGCCAGCGTGATGGTAACTTGTAAGTGCCATTTTTCAAAAATGATTTATTTTTAGAGACGAAGAACTCAACTAGTGCTTGGTTGACATCAGCTTCAGTTTTGCATTTGTTTTCCTGTAAAAAGTTTTGCAAAGAGAGAAACAAGTGACAATCGGAGGGTGCTAGGTCTGGGGAGTATGGTGGATGCGACAGAATTTCCCAGCCTAGCTCTGCGATTTTCTGACGAGTCGTCGAAGCAGCATGTGGTCTGGCATTATCATCGGTAGCCATGTTTTCGCGATCGCGTCTCGCTTAATACTGACATGAGACATCTTTGTTTCAGTTTATTTAGAAGAATACATGTGTGTAAAGGCAACGATAAAGAGAGATAGTCGTATATGTCTCAAATCAACATGTGCATATGGATTGAAACTTGAAGTGACACTATCGAACAGAACTTTCCGGTAGACCTAATATTTCGTCTACCTGCTCTTTATAATCCTTTGCTTTCCTATATACATACAGATTCGTACAGTCCTAAACAATCTTTAACGCGAGATGAAATGGCATCGGTGTCCGAAAAATCGACGATACGTAGCTCGACGCGAATATGTGAGAACGAACGTCTGGATGCTGGATTACGGTTTCCCGCGGGTTTAATGCATCTCTCGGCGCCCGGCCGTTCATTTCCGAAAGATATTTTCGGTGTTTCCTTGATCAACGCAACTCACGGTATGACCGAGCACGATTTTTCACAGCGAACCTCTCATTCCGACGATGATTTATCGCGGCGCCGTCGGAAAACTTGCTAATGCGTGCACCACGGACGAAGATACACGGCCGCGGCCGACGCCGGCAACGACAGCGAGCGGATCGACGCGATTTCCGGCGCTGCGCTATCGGGAATTAATCTTTCCCGTTCGACCCCGGCCACGGTTCTCCTCAGGAAAGAGCTCGTAGACGCTCGAATAATGTTGCTCCTTCATTTATAGGATTATTAGGCCGGAAGCATTCTGTCCGGTCCAATAATCCGGTTCTGAAGCGCGGTGCGCGCGTGCAACGAAACCGGGATCCCTATTCGGATCTTTTAACCGTGTTGACGCTAGATTTATGAAAGAACAGCTATTTTATAGTAGTTGATAAAAGTAACAATAATAAGACATTTATTTTGATTTTTAACTTTTGAGTGTTACTGTAATCTCTGCCGCAACTAACGTATTGATTATTAAATTTAATAAATAATTCATAAATGTATATCTACGATCTGAGCGATCGTAAAATAACAAATTAGTGACTCGTCACTTTTACGGAACACGAAAATATATAGTGCTGCATTCGTTTGCGTTAATAGTGAGACAGAATGACAGCATAGACATTCGGTTCTTTATATGTGCATTTTCTGTCATTGTTAATAATTGTTATATAGAATGATATATTACGTGCTAGGAACATGTCTGCTATGACTGGACTGTGGATCTTTGTGCAAAGTAAAAATGATTTGCATCAATTACGAACAACAGGAGCCATTTTGGAATTTCCCTCTTTCTTTAAATCCTTTTAATTAGACGAATATTAATATGTTGACACATTTCTATTCATTTGAACTTCCTTAAGTGCGCAAAATCCACGGTTCGCCTTAAATACACAAAATCCAGAGTCTACTCGTAAGTGCATAAAATTTGCAGTCTGGTCATAAATGCATAAAATCCGCTGTTCTAGCTATGACCCAGATGCATATCTATTCTGAATTTCACTTGAAGTTCTTCGCAAAGTTTGTACGAATATTAAGTTGAAGCATAAATAGCAATTAGTATTGTCAAAGTATGTAAATATCTGTTTACTCGCTCATGAATGCATAAAATTCTAAGTAGACTACGGATCATTAAGCGAAATAAGAATTGACTGCATTGCAACTATCTTGCAAAAGAAGAATAGGAATAACTTGTCGTTATTTCTTTAATAATTTTAATAGGTCGAAAATAGTACACCGACGTTATTAACCGTTTGCACTCGAGTGGTAATTCCGAGGCACCACTAAAAATTGTGTTCCATCACATTCGAAAATAATTTCTTGATTATCCAATTTGTTTATACGAGTTTGAGTCCTAGAGATTATTCAGAAAACACGGTCGAAAAATGCCGAACAGCGTGATAGCGCTTGTCTTAATTGATTGCGAAGAGAACCAAGCGGCGCGATAGCGCTCGTCAAGATTGCCAAACAAAAATAAAAAGAAACAAAATGAAAAAGAAGCAGCTATGCGATGTACGTGCGTCAATGTTATATTACGTGCGATGTACGTTAAAGTTTGATCGCGACACAATATCTGAACAGCGCGATCGCACTGCTTGGGACTCAAACGGTTAAAAAGGAAATAACGTAGATCAGAGAAATTACAGGGTGTCCCAAAAATGTCTCGCAATCCGAAAGTAGCGGGTTCCGCAGGTCATTTGAAGCAACTTTTTCCTTTACAAAAATGTTCTCCGAGGCACCGTTCACGAGTTATTAACGAAAAACAGTGACAAATGAGAGGCAAGATTAGCTGCCGCGAGGTGGCCGAGTCAACGGCGCCAGCGGTCGAGGCGGTCGAATCCCAGTTCAGCTGGCGCGAGGTGACCGAGCCAATGAGCGGAACTGGGCTTCGTGCGCTGGTTGGCTGGGCCGCCTCGCGTCAGCCGTACTCGATTCTTATTGGTCACTGTTTAACGTTAATAACTGGTTAACGGTGCCTCGGAGAAAATTTTTGTAAAGGAAGAAGTTGCTTCAAATGATCCGAGGAACCCGCCATTTCCGGATTGCGAGATATTTTTGGGATACCCTGTATTTTAGATTCAGAGTTAAAATAGTATCGAGTACAAAGGATTATATTAATCAAAGGCTTTTAATCTTTCTACTGTTTTAAATTACACATGCATATTTTAGAATAAGCGCCAAAAATCCGCAGTTTCGATGACACTCGCTTTGTGAAAAATGCTGAAGCAATACCCTTCCACAACCTTCCCACTCGCCAACAATGACGTAGACGATCAGGTTGATTCGGTTCGAACGAACCTGACAGGCACAGTCAACAGAAACACATCGACTCACCGATTTGTCGGCGTTGCCAGGAACAGTATCCCGCGGCAGTCATCGCGCACCGCGCGCCGCGCTGTGGAATCCTCCGGTCTGCAACAGAATGATCGTTTGCCAATTAAACGGCAACGGGGCCAGGTGAAATCGACGCGATAGGCAACGTGCCGTTCGACGTCGATTCGCGCTGGTTTAAAGAAGCGCCGGGAAACGCGAGCGCGCGCGCGCGCGCATTCGCTCGCACGGCCGGCCGCGCTCCGCAAACTTTGGCACGTGTTGCACCGGAAGTTTGCAGCGTTTAACGGCTCGATAAAATCTCAATTATAGTCCCCGGCGTGTCCTGCGAGGCGCCGGTAACCATGAACGCCGCGGCGGCACGGTCCACCGGCGAACGTTATCGCGACCCAGCAATTTACCGCTTCCCAGTCGACTTTGCAATTTCAGGTTCATTAAAGAATTAGGGACTCGCGTCGCCTGTCGTAAAACCCCGGCCCTGTAAATCCTTTAGGAATTGGGGCCTGTCTTACCTGTCCTCCTTTACAATTTTACAATCCAGTATACCGAACGCACTCGATAATACAAGTACGCTTTTCTCGTTTGAAACTTCTCCTCTTGTTCGACTCTTTGCTTACGACCACGTCTGAGAGACGTGGCCAGATGATCGGGCCAGAAATGACTATCACGTCTGAGAAACGTGGTAAAAATATCGGGCTAAAATTGAACACGTGCACGTAAAAAATGTACGCGTAATATGCACAAAATAATGAAATAATATAAACTAATCAAATGTGTGCACATGGATTATAATAAGTTACTTTTAACAAATAGAAAAAATAAACAGCTGTTTATTTCCTAACATCATTAATTATAGCAATATCAGTAATGATAAAGAAACAAATAAACCAATGGAAATGGCGCTCTTACATGTACGCGTTCCAGCGAAACGTTGAGTATGGGTCGCGCGAGACCCGGCCACTATGATCCTTCATGCGAAGGTTAACGCTGCTTGTTACGTCTCATTGTATACAGTTCTCCTGCAATAAATTGCCGAAAATAATTTCTCGTTCCTTCTTCGACGCAGTCTCCAATTCCGCGTAAAAATCCGGAAAAACCAGCCGCCGCGAGACACCGGTAGGCACTTAATTGTTGCTCCGCGATTAACCGTGGAATATGCGAGAGCGGCCGTATAGCATTAGCCTAAAATCTGCCACAAAGCCAGCTCGTTTCCGCGGAATTATTCATAGTTCCTTTCTAACGGGGCTCGACGGGCTAACATCGGCCCGCGGTAATTTATGCCGGCCGGCTCGTTGACACGGGATCGTTAGCAGGCCCGGTAATTAACATTGCTCGAATCTCGACGCACTCCGTCGAAAATCCGGCCCGCTTATCCGTCGATAAAATCTCAATTAGGGGTCCGCGCGGGGGAGGGGAGGGGGCCGGCAGCGCGGGGCGCGGCCGTGGAAACAAGGCGTTCGCGAATTGACATGAAAGCGACATAATCGTCGGGCAAATAGCCGCGTAAAACAAGAGCCAAGGGGGAGGAGGGTCAATTTACTCGGCGAGATGCATCGGCTAATGGCGCAGCCGTCGCAATTTTGCAGAGGACACGCGATGCACAATGGGTCCGGGGCTATCTGCTGCCAGATTTAAGCCCTTACGTAAAGATAGGACGCGACTGCGCTCCCGGGAGTTTATCTAACCCGGCCCTGGGAATATATTTCGACGCCGGGCGTCGCGTCGCCTCGCCTCGCGTCGGTTCTTCCGGGCAACGCAACAACCGAGCCGCGTTCCGAGCCCGTTACGACAAACCGTGCCGTAACCCAAATACGTAAGCTGTATTTTTACGCTGTTGCGCGATGCCCGATGGATTAATGCGACCGGATAAAGTGCGCCCTGTTTTGTCGTGGAAAGTAGAAGAAGCCGATGCTTTCGTCGATTCCCCGCGGTCTTCGGAACCAACCGGTTTCATCAGTTTTCCTGCTTTCGGTAATTCGACTGGACTCTGTTTCGCCGCGATTTATCGCGTTGCTGCGATATTTGTTCGGTCGCTCAAGCGATTGAAGCAAAAGGACCGTGGAATTATACTAAATTATATCGACTCGCTGTTAGCAACTTCCTTGCGACAAATACACTGCTCAACGAAATTATAGCATAGACAAATTCTGAGTAAAAATTGGCCAACTTTGATCGACGGTAACTCCGCGAAAATTCATCGTAGAATGATCGCTTTAGTTTTAAATTAATGCTTGGAACCTCTACTTTAACCCTTAGCGGACGACGACTTTTCCGGCAGAGTCAAGTAGCAGGACGAGGCGATTTTTGCAAATATGTCGAGTGTCTTATATGGTACAATAAAGTAATCTTACATATAAATATTATCTTACAAAAACGTTATTTTTCGTTAGTTCATCTATATTCACACTTTTATGAATATAATTTTACACAAATTATGATTTGTAGTTTCGTTCGATGTGATAGTTTATAAAACATTGACCAAGATGCATTCTTTGTTTATCTGGACATGTATCGTAGAAATAGGTCGTCTCATGTCTTCCCTCTGGTTTGTTTCGACTAGAACAAACTTTGCAATCTTTCTTTGTGCCAATAACAATTACATGCAGTTTTCCGTTGACGAAAATCTCCTCGCAATTTGTTGATCAAAATTTTGCGAAAGTTCAAATGTGTAACTGGCTGTTCGCTTCTCTGCCTTTTTACATGTTTGTAGAGAATGTACGAATTGATTAAACAAATTTCCAGTCCACGGAAAAATAATTTGCGCCACCA